ATATTCCTGGAATGGAAGTGAGCTACATTCCCCATCTGTGGGGCTCAAGCTGATGAGTTGAGAGTCTGCAAGTGTGCAGCCATGTACACTGTCAAGTCAAGCTGCATTTGTCAATCTCTCCTATCCAATGACTGATTATATGATTCACCTTTACAGTCATCAGCCCATGGCACTGAAGTGTATGGTATCTGAGTGGTATGGCACTCCCAGAGAGGTGCTGTAATTTATGTGAGAGTTACACCAGTACCAAACTGGCTACTAGGACACATACCAAAAACTCCTGTACCACTGTGATACACAGGTGTCATCAAGTATAATTATGGGTACAGAAACTTGAAAATTCAACTAACAGTTTCCATTCAAGTTATTGCAAACTTGTACCACATGAAGAAGAAAGGCTGGGGAGAAGAAGGAATCCTGGGACAGAATGACAAGTACCTTTCTTAGGTATACACAGTGTGATAGAGCACAACAGTCTTATTAAAAGTCTTCAGCAAAGATTAATCCTTTTCAGCTGGAGAAGAGGTCAAAGGAAGACAAGTGAACATGAGCTAGATGAATCTTGTTACTTGTTCTATTCATAACATTTGTGTCCAAACTATATTAGTATTAGCATGTATTTTTTCATCAGTATCAAGTGGTTTTGTCTTGGAGAGGCTGAATAAAGACATCCAGCTCAAACCAGCTTTATTGCTAAGACTATTTTTTCTTATCAGCCTTCTCTTTCAGGCTCTCAGGTTCTGGTGACTCATAATTTGAGCCACCATTACAATCACACCCAATCTTAGCATCTGTGAGGTGTATTCTTTTGGGGAGAACAGGGGAAAAGCACGATGTACCACACCCTAAGATTTCTATCATAGAGACTAGAAAACACTTCACACATAGATGTAAAAGAAGATGGGTCACAAAACCAAGTTCTGGAAGACACAAGCATTTCTAAAGACAATTAACATTTCTTCATGTTCTTGTTTATTGTCAGTAATATCAAAGGTTTGGGGCTTTTTCACCTATTATTCTTAGGCTGTCTGTTTCTTCCTTGTAAATCTGGCACATACATCATTGTACATTGCAGCACATCCTATCTCTATTGTCATGGTATTATTTTTGTTTTGGCTTTCTCCAAGCTGCTCTTACTGACCTATGTTTCCTTATGCAGTGAGGAAGAGAACATTATTTCCTTCTAGTATTTTTATCCAGGTTTCTGATGTATGCTCTCCCAATTTATAGATAAAGTGTTTTCATTATACAATGGATTTTACTCTTGGGCCACAGTTATGCATTTCACAAAATTTAATCTCTCAGAATCTCGTTTTTACATAGGCCTTTAATTCATTCACTTTGGGTTTTTTTCAGGTACATTTATAGTACATAAATTCTAGATCTAGAATTTGGTGTTTTGGGGCTATCTCACCTGCGTTGGATATGCTCCTCCTGTGTACCTGTAACTCCTGGACTTTTTGTCAAGCAGGCTGGGAAAATCACCCACCAAATCTCTTCCCAGTGAAAACTAGGTCACACAAAGGGTGAACAGAGTCTGTTTGATGACAAAGTATATGCCAGTAAGGCAATAAAGTTGCTTGAGAGAGTTAAAAATTCACCAAAGTATAGCACAGAATAAATAAAACAACTTAGGAAAAATTAAGGGAAAAACAAACACACAGGAACCAAAATCTATAACCTCAGAAGTAAGAAGAGGAGGATGCTGTAAATCAAGCTACAAAGAAAATGAAACTGTTGATAAAGCCAAAGAAGTTTGCTTAGTCATTTACAGAGTTAAATACTTGCCTATAGACTATGATTGCCTCTTGCTCACAAAACCCCCTTCTTCACAGAGCATGCAGGGTAAAGGAAATGTGCACTCCCTTAGAGATCAGAGAACGCAGAGCCCAGGACTTCAGCTTTAGGTTGGTACATATGTGGGAAATGTAGGTTTTTTTTATTGTTCAAAGTGTACAAAAATGAGCACCTGGCATTTTGGAGGTGTTCTAGTTTTGTGGATTCATGACCTAGCACCTGTCTCTGCCCAAATGTAAAAGAAAAGAATATTTCAACTGCATGTGTGAATTGGCTTCTTGCGTATCAGGTGTAAGAATCCATGCTCAGGACAACACCAGCTCCTAGAAACCAGAAAGTATTTTTGAGAGTTAAAGGTTAGATATAAAATGTAATTGTCCATACCTTACATTAATGTCCCTGCACAGTATGTCCAGATGGCTCTTTTACTTCATTCCATTCAAAAAGTCTGGTATCAGGATAGGTCATGTTATTTGTGTTGTTCGGGTAGTATCTTACTGGCAGAACCCTGTAGACAGCTCTGGAGAGAGCTGATCGTTACTTGGAGGTTTTGCAGTTTTGCATATTGGCCTATGTTTCTAAAAATGCTGCCCTCCTGTGTCTCAGTGTTGGAGTCCCATCTTCCCAGGATCAATCATTCCAGACTTCAAATATTCAAACCAAGATTGCTCTTGCTGTCACCAGATGTACAAAATCTTGGCAGTTATACAAACTTTGACAACCTTTGTTTTAAAGACTCCTATTCAATTTTTTGAATAAAGTATAGCTCCTAGTAGGCAAGTGTCACCAGAATATGGGTACAGAGCAATGCCTGCACCCCTTTGTTCTGGCCTGGTTGTTACAGAAATTCCAAATGCACCAGAATTTTTGGGTTTTTTTTTTTTCCTCTGTTACCTTAATTTTTTAATGAATTTATTAGGGAGTAATTCTTCTGAGGCCCTAGTGACCATACTAAACACTTTCTAGTTAAGGCCAGTAGGCGTTAGCAGTTGAAAACAGCAGCAAAATTAAATTTCAAAATGAGCAGTACCTGCCTGTTTTGCCGTTTAACCTGGTCAGCATCATGTTATTCCCCTGGCACTTTGTTTCTAATGAACTGCAACAATATTCCATGTAAATTTGTCCTTATGTTCTTCGTATTTATACCTTCTGTAATTTTCACTGAAAAGAGAGATGTTTATTTTGGAGCTTTGTAATTGAAAGTCTCTCTTCTATAAACCTTTTAAGGTTCTCCTTAAAGTATTTACCTCTGGTCTTTCCATTAGTTTGGCTATTATTTTCCTTGTTTCTGTTAGGACTAATAAAGTAATTATCTCAATTTTGTGACTGTTTTTTCCTAGTTGTCCATTTCCATCTTCTCCTCTTCCTTTATACCCCATTTTCATTTATCTTATATAAAATATGTGCACGTCAGGTAACTGTTGGGTTAACAAACAAGAGGGTCTTGTGGCAGGAACATCCCTATACACTGGTTACCAAAAGTTTTCCTATTTCTGTTTGTCCATCATGTACTTGCCACAGACAAGCCAATGGCAATGATTATAAACCTGCTGTTCAGCACTCACCAGTACCACTTTTGTGCCTTAGGAAAAAAAAGTATGCACTTTTGCCCCTTAGGAAACCTGCCTAATAGTTGGCAGAGTTATCTTTTGCTGTGTGGGACATTCCTCCCTACGTGTTTCTGAACACGTGGCAGTAGTCTGTCCTAACAGGAAGGCTGGACTCTGTCCTGTTTAGTGCATAAACTAGACTGTGTGGTTTTGGAGCTGTGTGCAGATACTTGTCCATGGCATGTGGCCATTCTTTTCACAAGCATGCTGAAAGCCCAGGCACCACACTATCTCTTCAGGAATTTCATGCCAAAAGTTTTGAACTTGCAAAAATTTTCACTTAGCTGTTCAACATTTGTTGCAAAGCAACAATTTATTTGCGGTGTTCTAAAAGATCTTGTCATAAATCTGCTTGATGTTCTGGTGAGACTTGTATGCTCTCTCAAATGCTTGCTTTTGTCCTCTCAGTATCTCACCAGAGCAGCTCAGATGCCTCCCAGCCACTGCAGTGGTTCTTCCTTGTGTTAGTTTCTTCTCTGCTATAACTGCAAATCCTTGCCATTTTCTTCACATACCTCTAGTTCATCACACAGTTTGGGTACATCTGCTTGCGTCTCTAGCTCTTACATACACACTGTATCTTCATCTCAATGTTTTTCCACTGCAGACCTTGAGTTATGGAATATTTGTCTCCTGTATATTAAATTTCTACCACTTCTCAGCTGAGGTGTTCTCTTTCATGGGGACTGTGAATCTTATTAAACCTTCCCCAAGAGTATCTCCATCCCACTGTGACCAGACTGCCTGAAGTCCTGCTAGCCTACCTGGCCTGTAGCTGTACCATGGTGCAGCCCCATCTGACTGTTTAAAATCCAAAAACTGCCACAAAACTGTTTAGAGCCCTGCATGTCTCAGTGCAAAGCTGCAATGAAGAACCAAGGATTACCCTGCTTGGGCACATAACAATAAGATAATGTTCAAGTTTAGTTTATTTGTGTTCCTGCTTCACAAAATAGAAGATCAAAATCAGACAAAAAAAATAATAAAAAAAAAATGGTTATAGAATTTAGCTTATCCCATGGTGGACAGATGAGAAGAGTGCTCAGGGGAGAGAAGGAGTTGTGGATCATAGCCTGAAAAAAGGAATGGGCACAATTAAGTAGGGAGAATGGCAGGGTGAAGCAGAAGCGTATTTCCATATTGAACTTTGGGGGCTTAAGTTCCTTACACATAAAACTTGGGACAACAGACACGCTGCTTGCTTGCTGGAGTCACTCTATATGGTGCAAGGAGATCTGAAAATTGCTGCAGAAAAATGGAGAATCCTGTTTCTATCCCAATATTAATAGAGTGACATCTTTTATTGCTCTCTTTTATTCACACTCTTACCCTATTTATAAGACACACAACCCTATTTCTCCAAATCTCACTCATTTAAAATCTGTGGCCCTAGACTTTTTCCAAAGCTATTGTAGGTCACTCTTCTCAAATTTGCTGATGGATAAAGACTATGCCAGCTGCAGAAGCTTCTGGACTGGGCAGACAATTCTCTGTTTGCTTGGTTTGAAGTGTAGTATTGCAAGTATCCTATCTCCACTCTGAGAGCAGAGCCAATGCCCTTTTTCTTACAAGAGAGAATATGAGCTACAGGTATACACAGATTTCCAGACACTGATTTTATTAATTTCACTGCATTAACATGAAAGCAGGAAGAAATTTAATTCCAACAAGATAAGGATTTACAATTAAACATAGGAGGAGAAATATCACCATTACAGCAGGAATTGCAACACATTCAACTAATTTATACTTTAAAATTATAAAGGTGCTTTCACATTTTTAAAGTAAAGAAAGTAGAAAAGAAAGGACAACTATTATTTTTAAGCAAGAAAGTTGACTGTGAGGATAGCTTTAGGTCTTTTGTGTAGTCTATCTGTGGCTGTTAACCTCACAAGGTTGTAATAGCTGATGGGATAAGAAATAACAACTAATAGAAGCAGTGCCCGGGCATTTTAAGGCAAGAGGAACAAGAGTATTTTCACCACCTAGATTAAGGCATCTGATACCCACATTAAGAGGCTGGCATTTTCAGGTTCCTTCCACAGTTAATCTTCCCCTGAGACTATTTAAATCCCGTGGCTGCTTCTGGCTCAGGCACTTCTTATTCTCAGCTGACCACTGACGGACCTCGAAGAGATTTGCTGTTAATTTAGGCATCTGCATCACATGCCTGACCTTAAGTAGTGTGGAATTCCCCCTGGTGTCCTTGCTGGAGGTTAGTTGAACTGCCCCTCCAGATTTCCATGAGCAAGTCCTTGCATGCATGAGCAGTGCCCTTCCAAGGAAATGGGGAAAAAAACAGAAGGAGAGCTCACTAGCATAAGGAGTGTTCACTTGCATTCTTTACAGTTTGAAGTAGGAAATTGTCTGCTGTGCTCCTCCTTCCTCTTCTAACCCCATGTCCCTAGAATTCCTTTCTTTTACAGGAAACTCTTAATAGTGGAGTAAATGCATGGCCATAGTACACCACTAGGCCAATGGTCTTGAGTCTTCAATCAGCATGCAGTTCTCATTGAGGTACCAGTTGCCTGGGGACACTCTTCTCCTGGAGAGGCAGGAAGGTATGCCTTGTCTGGAATTGGTTGATTTTGCAGTTCCAAGACCATTGTCTTCCTAGACATGTATCCCAAAAGTCAGACTTTGTGTGTGAAGAGCATGTTTTTCCCAAACAGGAGCCTAACCTGACACACTGGTTGCCATGTAAACTCTTCTTCTGTGTATGATTTACCTGTCCAGAACTAGGGAGGCCTGCTCTCAGTACCGTGCTTACATCCATCAGAGGGTCCTGATATTTTTCTCATACAGAAACTTGAATAGCACATACCGAGGTAATTTTCATTCTTGCAGATCTTTGCTGAAGGGCCTTTATTGGTTTAGTGGTTTGTTTTTCCTTGGAGAGATATGGCTTGGCAGAAACAGGCTCACACTTTTTTAGGAGTGTATCATTGTCTTGTTGTGCAGTCAGGAAACTTGGTGTGCAGTTGCTGGAAAAATTGCACCCACAAAAATCACAATGTTGCTGATTAAAAGCACACTTTGAAAAAAGTCAGCAACTGAATGGTGATATGGCAGACATAAAATTAAAAAGCAAAAATCAAAATGATATAACTTAGTTATAACTGTTAAAGGATTATGTTTGAAAATTATTGCACTATTAGCAAAACAGAAACATTCTTGAATTAAATGGTCCCAATAAGATCTTGTGAGATGACCTATTTCCCCTTAGACTTTTCAATATTGTATTCCTCCCTCAGTAAATCCCAGTGGATAGATTTTTGTAAAGAAGCATGATCATATTTGTCTGGCCCCTATTCAAATCTTGATATGACCCAGCTGTGCAGTTAATGTTTCCTGGAGAACTCATTGATTCTCTTAGTTTAGCAATGGAAAATACTGTAATCCCAGGGAGCAGACTCCCTACAACAGTAGGGGGTCATACAGTTTTCAGCAGTGGTCGACATAAAGATCTTAAATTATGTCAGGCACTCCTTAAGGCAAAGTAAGTGATACAAAATTTGCTAACTAATATTCTAATTTTACAGTCCAGTAGAGATGTCGTGCTCTGCAGTGGATTGTGTGAATGTGGAACTGACCCTTTCCAATTTTTCACGATAAAGACCTGGACATTTTTTGCAAAGGTGAGGTGCGACATGCTTTCGGAAAAAGGTATAAAGATATGCCCTAAATTTTTCTCCAACAAATACATAGATCACAGGATTGATGCAACAGTGGATCATTGAGATTGTTTCTGTCACTTGAATTGCTTTCTCCAGTTGTCCTTTAAGTTCACAATCTGGCATGAAAAGTGAATTTTGAAATGTATGCAAAAAAGAAGAAATATGGAATGGTGTCCAGAAGATGAAGTAAAAAATCATGATTACAAAAATAAGTTTGACTGCCTTCTGTTTTTTCTCATTCTTAGATCTCAATAATGTTTTAAGAATTTGTGAGTAACTGAAGATCATAATGAGCATTGGAACAACAAGTCCCAGAATGTTCATCTTTAAAATAAAAAAGTACTTCCAACTTACTGTGGAATCACTTGGATAATGAGCACTGCAAGTATAGCCTGAACTTTCCTTCTGAGTTTTGTGAAATACTACCCCAGGGACAGAAATAAGAACAGCAACAGCCCAAGTGACAACGCTGGCGAGGACGCCATAGGCAACTGTCCTGGCTTTCAAAGCAAACACTGCGTGCACTATGGCCAGGTACCTGTCCAGAGTCAAGAGGATTATGAAAAAGATGCCACTGTAGAAGCCGAGGAGGTAGACACCTGACAGAATTCGACATAGTGCCTCCCCAAAAATCCAGTCGTGAACTGCATAATAAGCCCAAAAAGGGAGAGAAAATACAAAGAGCAGATCAGAAATTGCCAGGTTGAGCAGGTAGATGTCAGTCATACTCTTCAGCCTCTTGTATTTCACCAGGATAAGGACAACAAGCATGTTGCCTGTCAGGCCAAATATCACCACTAAAGAATAAAGAGGTGGCAAAAAATTTGCTGCAAAGTGCTTTTCCTCAGTTCCAAGGCAAGGCGTTGAATCACCATAATCAAATTCTGTTGTCAGTGGCCAGTCAGTGAAGTCTGTGGTTTCATTTCCCATGGTGTATTGATCTGGAAAGGAGAAAACAAAAAGACATTAAACTAGAGGAATCTCCAAGCTTTGCAGTGAAGAGAATGAACCATGCTGATGTTCTCATCGGGTTTGCATTTTGCTGATGAGCTCACAAGCATTACTTTGTCAAGGCGTGAAAGAGAATGAAATTGCAGACCTCCCAGGATACCTATATATATATATACACCTATATATACATCTGTGGAGTCACACTGGTGCATGGTGGAAGGGTGCTGTGTGTCATTTCCCATGTGTGTTTCTCCACCTAGTTTAGTCTGTCAGTTGCCTGACTCAGGGGGAGAAGATGGATGAATTTAATGAGTTGTGGGTAGTTTGGGGGTCTTGTGCTCATCAGTGGCTTTCCAGAGGAGTGTAGAAAGCCAGGAAGGTAGCCTTAGGAAAGCACAGTGTCTGGCATGCAGAGCATACTCTTGCTTCTCCTTGGGATCTGGCCACCTGCTCATCATACTGTCTGTCCTGTAGCCCTTACCCACGGAGGACCAGGCACTGGTAGGTATAAATGGTGCCTGGAAAGGCACTGTGACATAGGTGAAAAACAGCTGACTTCAAGCATATCTTCAGATTACTTCAAGTGACATTCTGGGAGCCTTAATGCCTATGGGAATTAGGAGAGTACTAAACATACCCACCTGTGCTATTTTGGGTGTTGAAGAGTGGAAAGTCAGCAGTGTTGGTGTGGTTTAAAATGGCAAACACTGGGTCTTTTATAGAGCCTAGGGCAGGTGCAGGCAGGGGAAGTGTGCTGGTTTCAGATAGCTCTGGAATGAAGTCGGTGCACAGTCCTGTAGAGAGAACAGATGGACGAAGACCTTAGCAAATGATGCAAAAGATGAGAGTTGCTGTTGGAGTGGCCTCTAATATCTGTCTCTGTTGTGGCATCTTCCTGTCAGCTGGAAGACCTCTCCACTGCTGTTTGGGGATGTAAGGAGTTTTGATTCCTTGTTTCAGTAGTTGTTTACAGCCCTTATTCAGGAGCTGCAAAGTTTAGATTGTTAGAGTGTCTTGGAGGGAGCACAAAGGCAAAAGGCAGACATGGCCACAGCTAAGAGTATGCACACAGCTCTTCATGTGACATCGTTCTTCACTCTTTGTCAGTCAGTGTTTACAGTAAGGCAACAATGAGGAAATGCAAGGGTTGTGCAAACTCTCTGTCCCTTCTGTTTTGGTTTAGGAACTGTTGGAGGGACTGGACTCCCACTGCAAGAATAGGTCTGGGTGTCAGCCCCTTAGGCTGCCAAAGCCCCCCCTTGTCCCAAGTCCCTGGTAGGACTGTGAGCCAGGTGCAGCAGCACAGATTTGTGTAACTTGATCTCTGAAAAGCTCAGAGAACTGTCTTCTCACTGACCCCCAGAGAGCACAGAAGAATTCCTGTGTGTCCCATGAGAAGCTGGGCAGAGGATTTTGTGAAGATAGGTGTCAGAGGGACCAAAGTGCTTCCTGGTCACTCAGTGAGGAAATGCAATCGATGCCTTTGGTAGCCCCTCAAAGAGAGCTACTTGATGTCTGGTTAAAGGGCTGCTCTGTCTTCCTGTGCCATCATGACTGCATTTATCAGACACTTCATGGCAGACAGGCCCATGGCATGGTGTTGGTTTTGAAATCAGCCTTTTCCTGGAAATGTCACGCATGCTTTTAGACAAAGGCAACGGAGTGCTCCTGTGCAGAAGAGTTCAGGCAGCGCATCTGGCCCAGCTTGCTGTGTGATCCCTGAGCACTCATGTTGTGCACCAGCATTCACTCCTTTCCTGGATGCGTTTTTTCAGTGGTATGGTGTGCCCTTGTGTGTGATTGAAGGCATCTTTTGCAGAGACCACACTCTCAAAACCACCACCATTTCATTCTCTCTGCACTTGAGCTTTGCAAGTCTAAATGTCACTGAAGAAGAAACGCGACCTATGGCTGGAGTGACTGAGAGACAGGCCCCTGCATTTTTTTTTAGTAGATAGTCAATTTAATTACATGTTGGGCCATTCTGAGCTGCAGCAGGTGAAATTTTTGAAGTGTCTTAAGCTCATGTCAGCTTATTTAGCTGTTTGAGAGAAGGCTGATTTCATGATACGTAATTACAGAACATTCAAGATCCAGAGGACATAGTTTTGGAGTTTTATCTTGGTGAGTACAAGTATAATACAAATAATCTTGAACAAATTTTGTTTGTTACATGGTAGTAAAACAATTTTTTGTGTGTGTATATGCACAAGTAAATATAAATATGGATATAAATATATGTACACTTATATATAGAATCATAGTAATGTAGAATCCTAGAATCATTTAGATCAGAAAAGACCTCCAAGATCATTAAGTCCAAACATTAACTTAACACTATCAAGTCCACCACTAAACCATGTCCCTAAGCATCACATCTACACAGCTTTTAAATACCTCCAGGGACGGTGACTCAACTGCTTCCTTAGGCAGCCTGTTCCAGAGCTTGATATCCCTTTCAGTGAGTATTTTTTTCCTAATATTTGATCTAAACCTCCCTTGGTGCACTTAGCCTTGTACAATTTTTGTATTTGTATAAAAAGAAAGTAACTTTTTTTTTATTCCAAGTCTGGAACTTATTTCAAGTTGTAAAACTGGCAGAAAATAATTGTGGGAGCAACCAAGCTAAAGTTAACTGACTCTCTACTGATTTGTCTCCTTTGCTGTCCAGGTCTTATGCCCTGTGAAAGTATGACCCCAGCCAGCAGCTAAGGCCCCATCTGGTAAACCCACTCACTTCCCCACAGGAGGATCAGGGAGAGAATCAGAAATGCTGAAGAAAGAAAAACTTGCAGGCTGAGGAAAAGACAGCTGAATAAGAGAATGAAACTGAAAAAACCCACAAGAGGTAATAAAAGGACAAATGCTTGCCATGTTCTACCGAGGAGACAGATAGAGTGTTTGAGTAAAAAATTTCCTTCTGCCCCTAGTTTTATTCCTGAGTGTGATGTTCTATGACCCAGAATACCCTTTTGGTCAGTTTGGGTCATCTCTCTCAGCTGTGGCCACAAATCTAAAAGACATCACCATAAGGGCTACTGGGAAGAAAAGTAAGTCCATCCCAGTCAGACCAAGTTCACCTTCCCACCACCAAAATTTAGCTCTTGCCCTACACAATTGACACTGACTCTGGCTAGAAAATCAGCATGTGCTGTGGTTGTTTTGTTTACAGGCTCTGACCTGGTGGGAAATCTTACAGTATTTGTATGGTGCTCCTTTTCAAAACAAGCACAAAATATTAAAAATATTTTCTGAGATGCTTTTAAAAAAATGCTTCTCCTTTGCACACCAGCAATGTTAATCACAAAGAACTCTAGAAAACTGACCTGGATAAAAAATTCTATTGGAAATTACTGGTTGCACTTGATTTTAATTTTTTTCATTTGTCTTTAACCATATTTCCCATTTTCATTTTTTGTGCAGAAAGAAGCATCATCTGCAGAAGCTGCAGCCCTTGACAAGAAGTCTGATTTTGCCTCTTAAATTATCTAGGTGTGGACCTTCAGAAATGAGTGTGTTATAGCAAAGAAATCTCAAGGTTTATCTCTGCTCTTATGCTATTTAAACATAGCCGGAGCAACTCTGATTTGAGAACTTGTATTTAATTATTTGGTTTATTTCCCTCTTTTTTATTTTTTCTGTCCAAAATTACACATGAATATTCAGAACGTCTTAATTATTTTAATTTTCTGTACTGCATGTGGCCATCAGCACCCACTCTCCTGACCACAGTCCCACTGTTTCCACATGCACAGGATCATTTTGGTTCCTAGCAGAAATTCTGAATGATTTTTGCAAAAGTAGGCAACATGTCAACCTAAGGTAGACTTAAGAGGAGAACTTAATTTATCCTGTGTTTAACATGTAAGAGTATCTAAATACATGAAGAGTCCAATAAGAGGCTACTGTTGTTTCTCCTTGGAGGACTGGTTATGTTCTGAGTTGCCAAAGAAGCTGGATACAGAAAGGTTTTGCCAAGCAATGGGCCAAATACCAGGACCCTGGAAAAGACTTCTTAAACTTACATATTAGATGGGAGAAAAATTGGTTTGCTGAATACTTACAACTTTGCAAGCCCTAATAAAGGTAATTTCATTTCTCTAAGTTTTAACAAAGCTGCACTTATGGCAACATCAGAGATTCTTGTAATGAAGTACATGTAGCCCTGAAACATGTCTTTCCAGATTTCTGTATTTTGGCTGCTTTGAGAGAAGCCTCACTAGTTCTCGAGCACTAGCTGCTATCCACAGTGTCACTTTGAGCTAGACAATGTCTAGGTGCTGGTAGGACTATCAGACGTTTCCATGTCATTCAAGCAAAGCAGCTCCTGAGTTGCTACAGTGATTTATTTAGGGATGACATTTGTCACAGACCAATGAGTCTGCTGTGCTCTAGAGGGGATTTGGACAAAGCTTCCCCTCAGAAACCAGAACTTGTAATAACTACAAGATACAAGATCATCTGTGCATGAATGGAGCTTATCCTTATTTCAAAACTCAATGGCCTCCCAAAGTTCCCTTCACCTTTTTGCAGTTTAAGACAAGATTTCTATTTTGCAATGTATGAGCAGATAACAGCACTACTGCCCCTGCCCTCACTTTCTTCCTTTTATAAATGCCAGTATTTGGCACACAGAAAAATAAATTGCTTAATGACTTTTAGTCAGCTTAAAAGTATGTGTCAGCAGCATCTAGGGCACTTTATGAAGAGAGAGAAGTGCAACAGAGCACTGAGTAATACTGAAACTTTAAAAATAATACCACATATTCTGATAGCAGGCTTTGCAAGAGAGGTACCCAGTGTTTCCTGCTAACAGCTCTACCACTTTGCCTTTGACTTTCTTGGAGGAGCAAAACTACAGACACCTGCATTTGCTTGGAGAGTAAGCATAAAAAGTAAGAACTTTTCCTGAGTTAGGAAAGATGAAGGAAAACATGGAAGTGTAAACTAAATACTCTATTAAGACTCTGATAGTTTCCCTCAAACACAACTTTTCATGTGGTAGTGACCACAGGATTTCCTTCTAGGATTTCATCGGGTAAAGAGGCCCTTCCAAAATTAAATCTTTCCTGGGAAACCTCTTCCTCTTTTCTAACAGCTGAGCATTAGAAACATTCAGAATTACTTGCCTCCTAACTGATGGGTTTTTTCCAACCCTACAAAACTTTGAAAGTAAAATATACTCTAATCTGAGAAGAGCAGGCTTAATTCTCTATGGTGCCTCAGGACCTGATTGTTGACATTCCCCATCAAAAACAGAAAAACAGTCTGGCAAAAATTCTGAGCTTTTCTGCAGTGAAATAGAGTGAGTCAGTCTATGGGTCTCAGTACAAAAGAAGTAGGATGTGTTCTTACCTAAACAAATGTACAGAAAAGGAATATCATTAGCATTCTGAGAAAGAGAAATTTGTGGCAGGTATTAAATATCTTCCTCCAAATCATTAGTATATGTATACATGGGTTCTTCTCTTGTCTAAGCTAACTTCTGGGCTAGTATGTCAGTAAGGGTTTTTTTGCTGTGTTTTGGTTTGGGGTTTTTTTCCAGTATCTGATAAAACATTGAATTCAGAGTAATTCAAGCAGCAGTTGTAGTCACAACCATTCTGAGGATGAACTGAAGTACAAAATGGAAAGGTAATAGTTTGGAGTGGAGGTTGCCAGCATATGCAATAGGATCATGTGATGTCCTGTTATTGCTCCAAGAGTCTCTACACTGAGAAGTTCAAGCCCCCTGCTCTGTTGATGTCAACTGTTCCAGGCAAATTACAGTGACAATTCTCCCAAGAATGTAAAAAAAATGAAAAAGAATTTGTAGGCTATTGTAGTTTTTTTGCTAATATACAAGTGACAAGGCTCTATCCAAGCAGAGAAGCTCACGTTTTCTTGTGTGAGTACAAAAATTCCAGTGCAGTACTGACGATTTTGTTCATGCAAAAACTCATTAACAAAAATTGCCATCTGAGTGTAAAACTGATATCTCATTGAGATGTGGCTGAGATATGGAGTAAGGACTTTCTAATGTGGTGACTCAGAGACATCACATTGAAAAGAGGACCCAGTCCAAATATCCCTTTAAAACATGATAATGAAATGACACTTTTAACACACTAAATGTTTGAATAATATAGAGAAACCATGTAACAGGATAGGGATGGAGAACACGTGTCATCTGCATCTGACAGAGCAAGATGTTTAGATGAAGTATGAAGGATTTAATGTCTGACCAATTTTCATCCTTAGCAGAATACAACTTCAAGCTATCAATCTCCTGGAACTGCTTCAAAACCAAGACCCAATATGTTTCTGGTACAAAAAAAGATTATCATTTTCTATACCAATTGTCCGGTTGAATTCTGTACTTTCACATTTAGTCTTATCCCAAGCTGTAAGCTAGTCACAAGACCCAATTGTTCCCAAAGTTATTATCTCTGTTTCAATGTCCACTCTACTGCCCAGTAGGCACATCTACTCCCCAATTAGTGAATTTCTCTTATATATACACACACATTTAGATAGAAAGATAAGGAAAAAAATCAGCTACTCACTGTTTCATCAGGCTGGTCTAACTGGGTTCTTCTTCGTGAACAAACATATATCTGAAAATAGGAAACAGTACTTCCTGTGACATATTGCATAAGGGGGGTAAGTTTCATCTTCTCTGAAAAAGCTTGGTTTCCAGGATGAGGTCAGAATTGGTGGATGAAGATTTTATGGGTGCCAGCTTGTTCTGCTCCAGCTGGAACTGGAGCAGTCAGTTTCTGAAGTACTCCATCTCTACAGGATGAAGACTGGCTGGTTCAATAAAATCCCATTCTCAGGTCAGTAAGTATTTCTACCTGCTCTGGAAACTTCTAATCTCAATTTACTCCCTTCCAGTTTGAATCCTTTGCACCTTGTCCTGTCACCCCATGCCCTTGTAAAAGGTTCCTGTCCTTTCTTGGAGAGACTCTCTTCAGACACTGGAAGGCTGCAATTAAATCACCCTGAAGTCCTCTCTTTTTCAGACTGAACAAACCAAATTTCCTCAGACTTTTCTCACAGGAAAAGTTCTCCATCCCTCTGGTTGTCTTGGTGGACTCCTCTGGACTCACTCCAACAGTTTGATACCCTTCCTGTGCTGGGGATCCCAGAGCTGGATGCAGGACTGCAGATCGGATCTCACCAGAGCAGAACAGAGCAGAGGGGCAAAATCCCTTCCCTTGCTCTGCTGGCCACGCTGCTTTGGATGCAGCCCAGGACACATTTGGCTTTCTGGGCGGCAAGTGCACATGGCTGGGTCATGTCCAGCCTCTCATCCACCAGCACTCCCAAGTCCTTTTCCTCAGGGCTGTTCTCAGTCTGTTCATCCCCCAGCCTCTGCTGATACCAGGGGTTGTCCTGACCCAGGTGCAGCACCTTGCACTTGGTCTTGTTAAACCCCACAGAGTTCCCATGGACCCACTTGTCAAGCTTATCCAGCTCCCCCAGATGGCATACCATCTTTCAGGTGTGTCAACATCCCTACTCAGCTTGGTGTCATCTGCAAATTTGCTGAGGGTCCTCTCAGTCCCTTTGTCATTAAAAAATATACTAAATAGCACTTGGTCCCAGTACAGACCTCGGGGCCACCAGCTTTCACTGATGTCCATCAGGACTCTGAGCCATTTACAACTTCCCTCCAGACAGGATGGTCCAACCACTTGATAATCTATCTAATAATTTACCCATTGAATCCATCTCTCTCCATCTTAGAGAGAAGGATGTTGTGGAGGCTGTTCAGAAGTCCAGATAAACAACATGCATAGCCCTTACCTTGTCCACTGCTGTAGTAACTCCATCACAGGAAGCCCCTGGGTTGGTCAGGCAGGACTTGCCCTTGGTGAAGCAGTGCTGGCTGTTCTGAATCACCTCTCTGCCCTCCACGTGCCCTAGCACAGCTCCCAGGAAGATCTGTTCCATGTGCTTCCCAGGCACAGAGGTGAGGCTGACAGGTCCATAGTTCCCAGGGTCATCCTTCCTACCCTTTCTAAAGTAGGTACAATGCCTCCCTTTTCCCAGTCACCTGGGACTTCACCTGATTGCCATGACTTTCAAGTATCATGGAGAGGGGCTTGGCAACTACTGTCAACCTTCCCTCAAGACTCTGGGCTGCATCTCACTGGGTCCCATGGATCATTATAAAACAGGACTAATGAATAATATGGCCACTTCTCTGCTCCCTATGGAGTCTTTTTCAATTTTATAGCAAGCAAGGCTACGTTTTTCAAATTTGCACTCCTTTGGCAGCAGCTCTTGACCACTCTCTAAGACTGCAGGGTGTTTTCCTACAGTATTCCTGAAAAGCTGTGAGACTGGCTTGGGCTACATTTATATTTGGATTTTTTCATTTACTAAAATTTTTTTCCAGTAAACCCAGGGATATATAACCAATCACACATGTTGCAGGGAGTATAAAAGAGACTCATAAAGCTGTTTCAGAAAGAGTGCCTAAGCAAGGCTGTAGGAAGAGGGATGTGATGGCTGGAATCACATAAGAGAAGGGGCTGTGTAGATTTTGCTGTAAGTACAGAACAGCAAACCACTGAAAACTTTCAAGCCTGAGCAGAAAGTGCCTTTCCTACAGTGACACAGTGGATAACAGGGAGACCCAAGACACATTTTCATTCTACACCATCTCCCTCTGAGTTGCTGTCTGAATTTGAAATTCTTTTTTACTGCTCAGGACACCTCTTCCTACTCAATGTAGGCTGCTATTTCAGGAGTCTTGTTTGCATGTTTCATCTTTTGTGAACTACTATGCCTGGTAAAGAAATGAATTTGCTTTCAGGATCAAAAGTCCTGCCTAAAGAAGTTATTTTCACTGCCTCATGATAAAAAAAAAGGGTGTCACTTGGAAAAGGGGCTTATCTCAGCTCTTAAGGGAATAACTCCTTTGGAATCCATCATCCAGGGTCTTCGTGTGGGTGTAATCTGAAAATAGCAGAGGTAATCCTTGACCTTTTATCTCCCTGTCTTGTGAAAGTGAGATTTCCTTCTGCCTGTCTCAGGGTCTATCTGGAGCTCACCAACCTGTTCTAGGAAAGATCACAGAAGTCTTCCTTGGAAAACCTATGTGCTATTTTTATAACCTGGGGAGTAAAGAGTTTTGAGTTTGCCATAATGAGTTTGAATGAGTCACTCCTGACTGACCAGTGTATTCTAACTTGAGAAGAAAAGCACCATTTTGCATATATTGTTTGGAAAGAATTTTAATTCTTTGTTCCTCCAATCTGGGTGCTTAGACTGAAGACAAGTGGACAGTGTTTTCAGGCTGCCCGAGCCCCGGTTGCTCCAACCTTTGAAAATCAGGGATGGTCTCTTTCCAAAATGGTGATGCAAATAATCTGAAGCTTTAAAAAGTTTGATTAAAATACAGGAGGAAAAATTAAGACATATTCAAAGGAAAGGAAACATTTCATATCAGGAACTTAATTTTAAGCATCTGTGACTACATTTTGAACTGTAGCTAAATTACTATCATCTTATAGAGGATAAAGCCTGTTATAAAGGACAGAGCCCCCTGAAATTGTATTTTTCAGCCATGTTGAGACTCTGAAGAATTCCAGGGGAAAGAAATTGTGTTCATTGGTCCAGAAAGCATGGACTGTGAGAAGTGATTGTGAATGGACTAGAGGATCTCTCTGACTTAATTTCCATGATTTTACTCATAGTATCTTTCCTCTATGGATTTAATGGGCTTTATAAACATTAACTAATTCAAATAACTGTCTAGGAGATGGAAGCAGAGGAAGCAGTGGGAGAAAAGTGTCCCAAAGTCAGAGACATTGCCAGGAGGAGATTGCCATTTAAAATTAAGTTCTTCATCTCCATAAAAAATTAGAATGAACAGTAAGAAAAGAGTACACAAACTTCAGCATGCTAATCCATTGAAGTTCTATAAATAGGGAAGTACTGCTTTACCAAAGGGAAGAATCAAAAAAGAATTAAGAACTTCTGTAACAAAACTGTCTTGCTTCTTCTGGAGCTTTCTACAAGCTGTGATAACAGTACCACTGAGAGAACTAAAGCAGGGGAATCAAACCATTATATGTTTCTATTACTCCATCAGTTGCTGAATGTAAGAGAAAACTAGCTTTATGTGACAATAATACAATGTTATGTGCATACTGAAGTCAGGCAGTGGGGATACACTTAAAGGCACTTAAATAATTTTCCTTCTTTCTTGAAGAAGTATCCTATGGAGGGAAAGGGATGCTGGAGACAGTTCACTAATGGCAAAATACCATCCAGATTACCTAAATAGAAATGACTGGTCTTCAGCTATGTGCCAGTAAGACTATAGCAAAGATAAGTGGTGGCCTTGCAGTTCATCTCATGTTCTAGGCTTTCTGTGGAAGGAGAAATGCTGACTTCAGTCCCTGTGTCAAAGCCTGTTCAAGAATTTCAGACAAAGCAGGACAGCAGGAGGGAAGGTGCATACCGAGGGAGTTGCTTTCCTGTTGCTCCAGTGTGCTTCAGCCTGCCCTTTGGTGATGAAATTGAATGAAGTAGATCTTTTGTGCTAAAAGAGGAATTCGATAAACATCTTAATGAGAGCTGCTCTGCGGACTTCTCTGGAGCACCCTCACACACAGCAACCCTCACACACATCAGACATTTTGCTGACCGTCTTGGAGTTTAGAGGGACAGGCATGTGACAGCTTTGGCTGAGCACAAAGAGGAGCAGAAAGCAGGCCTTTCCAAGGTCTGTTAGTAGGGAATTCTTTCCCAGCTCCTTCAAACTGAAAGGTGTAAGCTGCAGCAATCATCTCTCCCACCCTTAGCTGGTAGTTAGCTGGCTAATCTAAGGGCTCCCTCTCTGGTCAAGGGACAGAGGTAGGTATTTGCAGAGGGTGACAAACTGTTTTAAGTTACTTCACCTTAGGCTGGAATGAATCACCTTACAGAGGGAGCACTCTTTAATGATATAAACAGCCTTAGGCAAGAAGTTCAGGGTAGACAGCCAACCTGTACATTGATAAAATTGTTTCAGGTAACCTGAATGAAGTCTTCAGGGCTTTTGGTGATGAGAAACCAATTATTTTGGAAAAACATCAAGTCAAATATTTTTATTTTGCTGCTATTCAGGGCTTAGGTGATTTTTTTAGCAGACAGGCCTGATAATGCTGCCTACTTCCATTGCTGAAGAGGAATAGATCTAAGGTGCATCTAAAGACTAGTCCAGGTGGCGATGCACACAGAAGCTGGAACAGAATTGTTATGGCATTATGACAACTGTACTTTGCTCACACCCATGAAAACTGCATGTGCTACCTACCATGTCTCAGAAGTAAGGTTGCAAAGCCTGTCTTCCTCTTCCCCTACATCCTTATACTCATTCAGGTGTTCTAAAACTGTATTTTAGGAGGGGTAGGAAGATACACAAAAGTAAAACAGGTTCTATTGGTGGCTTATGCTAGTTGCCTCATTAGCTGCTCAGGTGTCACAGTGCTTCCTTACAGCTTTAGGGCACTTCACAGAACCTTGGAGGAGTAAGACTTGACAACAGAGATGTAAGTAAACTCGGAGTTCTATATATTCTTAAGATATTCTGTGTTTCTCACAGAAGAA